GTGTTTCATTCAGTATATTAAAAATGTTGACCAAATCTATGTATTCATTGCCCGGACATACAATAAAGTTGTCAACGCATCCATAACATGGTAAGATTTCTTTCTCTTTCTCTCTCTCTCTCTTTATTTTATAATTGATTTTTGAATTAGTTTTTTATTTCACAAAATACAAAATTCCACATATCTTATAGAATATAAATGAACGAAATATAAACAAAATGTTAAGTTAAACGAAATTAACTTTGAATTAAACCTAACAATTTTTATTAGAATTAAAAATAAATTTTCATATGACTAAAATATTACTTAATTTAATTAATTCTTTAAACAATAATACAATATTATCCAATCATAAAAATGATAATAGAAAATATTAAGATCTCATTAAATTTTTAATAATTAATAAATTAATTAATATTAATACATTATATAATATTAAATCACTAGATTTAAAAATTTAGGAAATTTAAATAAATACATCAATTTAGTTGTACATCAAATATGTTAATTAATAAAAATTATGCAATTATTGTATAAAGGTTTTAAACGGAGGTAAAAAATAATAATTCACAAATTTTCAAAAAGTTGTTCAGCGGTGAAGCGTTTCTTTAAGCTCAAAAAGTTAGTGAACGCCGCTTCAGAGAATTGCTGTGAAAATTAATTAATAAAATATTTTGTTAGATTTTGACATGATCATTTTAATAACAATGTGATAAAACAATTATACAAACCATGGTCAATTTTTTGTCCATTTCAAACGAGTCCACATCACTACTGTTTTGTTTGAGACAAAACAAAATGCCAAACATCGAGGTAACCAGCGCAAATATTTTCACCTCTTTCAGTATGTGATCGACTGAATTGAGTTTATTATCGCAATATTTGTTGCCTAATACTCTTTGCGACTCTTTTACATACATCTCAATGAGTGGCAAAAGAGTGGTGTCGTCGGGATAGATGTGTGGCTTAATAAAGTCCTCCATAGATCGGCCCCATTCGTTGACAAACATGGCCAAATCGTGGCCCCGGTATCCATAGCTCGAGTACTCGTAATCGCAAAACAATACCGTTTCGTCGGGATTAGCGTTACAGTCGTTGCCCTCCAATACCATTATATTAGCGCTGCGAAAGTCGTTGTGACAGAAAACCATTGGACTCTCGCACTGGTCTACAACTTGCCGTAGAAAATCCAACTCTGCTTTTAGTGAATGTGTTGCCAATGACTCCAAATTGAGTTCTTTGATCAGTGATTGAGTTTCGGTGTTGTCCTGTGTTTTGCGATACCATTTGTCGGCAGTGCTGAAGAACCAGTGCTCGCGCTTTGTGGGCACATCCATGGCGTGTACGCGCGCTAACCGTTCAAACACTTGGCGCACGAGTTCGGGCTTACTTTGCTCTGCTTTTGTGAATTGCCGGTGCTTTTTGAACAGGCAATCGACAAATTAGTTTACATTTAAACATCCCTTTTATTTAACAAATATTTACCTTATAATAGGCGTGAATCTGTCCACCAGTGAACATACCGTACACTCTGGGACCCAATCCATTGCGGGACACCATTAAGCCGATAATAATGTCGGTCAGCCTCTCATCGGCCACACCATCGTTATTGAAATACTTCGGTCCATACAATCTGACGGCCACTTCTCGGGGCACTGGTGTCGACACTTTGTCGGCCCCTTTAATGCCGCAGTAATACAACTGATTAGTCATTCCTCCGGATATTCTTCTCACTTCAATGGTGTCCACCGTTTGTTGTGTCCAAACGTCCGACAAATACTCTTTGCATAATTGCAGACATCTATCGGCGATATCAACGGGTGTTTCACCTCTAATGAGATCGATTTGATTCATATCAAACTCGTCAATAGATTTTAGATCTTTCAATGTTTTCTTTGGTTTCACTTCATTTCCATTACAAACACAGTTTTGCTCTGTTTTTGTTGCCATTGTTTTTGGTATTTATTGTTTTAAAAGTGATACAAAATTTTGCTTAAAAATTTAATAACTAGTGAGGTTAGTTAGTTTAGAACTAGTTAGAGCAAACGAATAGTTAAAATGACTTTAAATAAGCTTTCACTACTTATAGCACTACTTTTTACTACAATAATCAATGAGATATCACTTAAAAAATTGATTATGATTTCAAGGATTTGATGCATTGGTTCGTGTGATCACAACATTGAAGGACGAGTTTGAGCAACAATTCAAGCAAAAGAGTTTGCAAAACATGTAATAATTGTTAAGTAATCATAAATAGTGTCATAAAAGGGAGATAACAAACATACCCTTATCATATGCAATTAAATATCCGAATAGCATGTGAGTAGATTTACAATGATCAATTGTGTTAAATGTATTGTTATTATAATTTATTGCTATAAAATACAAATGAAAGTAAATTAAAATAATGTGCAATTTAATTAATATCTAGAGCTGATTTGGTTTTCATTTCTAAAACAACCATAGTCTGCTGAAAAGCGCATGTGATTCTTAATTTAACATTATTAAACTTAATTAATGTCTAATATTTTGATCAATTATTTCAACACACTATTCGTGACAGGGATTTAAGGCTATATTAAAATGAAATAATGTCCCCGAAGTACTAATAAAGTGCATTTAGTTTAGTCTAAACTCAATATACTTTATAATTTAAACATTGATAAAATTGTTTGTATGAGTGTATCATAAAACATACTTTGGATTTTAATGATAATTTAAACGAAGTTTATTAGTCCTTGTTTTTGACATTAATTTTTATTTGACTTAAATTACGTAATTTTATAACATATTTTTAAAACGTACAAAATATAATTTAACAATTTTACAATTATAATATTTTATAATTAATTTGTAAATATTGAATATTATTAATTTGTTAAATTAAATTATTAAATATAATTTTTTAAAATATTTATTATAACTCAATTAATATAACATTTAATTTAATTATTATTAGAGTTTATATCTTTAATAAATGTCAATCAAAATAATGAATAATCTATTAGTGTTTTAGTAAAGAATTACAAAAATAAACTTTTAATTTAGTATAACTACGGTTGAGACACATTATGAACACCATGACAATTTAGGTATTTAATCAAATCACTGTCAAAGGTTTATAACAAACAAATAAAACATTTATTACTTGTAATAAATTAAACCTAAAGCAATGGATATCTGATTATTATATTTAATATACGATTGTTTTTACAAAACATAATAATTATCTCACACATTTTTTGTAACAAATAAGTTATTTGAAATAACACAATTTATAAACAAAATATAATAATTATTTTATAAACACATTACAAATTAAAAACAAATTTAAGTAATTTGTTATAAATTTTGCATTAAAATGAGTAACAAATTAAACACAACCCGAATGTATCCATCGCTGCCATCGGTTGCCATCGATGTTAATGAAGAGTCACAACCATTAGAAACGGAGGATAAAGTAACCATCACCTATTTGCAACCGGCCAACAACCAGCCTTATCATAATGACAAATGTTCATTATGTGATTGTTTATGTGAGACGGTTCGCTGGATCGGACAATTTGGTTTGTATACATTTATAACATATACAAAGTAGATAATATAATAATAACAATATTTATTACTTTAATGTAAATTTTATATTAAACTTATATATTTTTCATGACTATTAATTAATAAATATTTATCTTATTATAATTATACCAAACTCGACACCGACTACTATTGCCGTACATATATTGGTCTGTCCATTGGATATTAAATATGTTGATAGTCATCGGTTTGCTTGCGATTGTAATGAGTTGTTGTATTTGTTGTACCGCTTGTTTACCTAATACTCGTCGAAGAGTAGTACGAAATGATGTGAAATAATTTTAAAATGTTATTTTTACAACATTTATATACAGTATACCAGGTAGATGAATGTCAATTTTATTAAAATGTACTATCAATTTATTGATTACTTTATATTAACACATTTTTTGAAAACTGATTGTAATTTTGCTTAAGTTTTAATAAAGTAATTACTAATTAGTATAATATTTAGTTAAAATAATATTTTTTTAAAACAAAAAAACATACTATTTTTCAACTAATAAGATTTTAATTTTACTAACAATCAAATTAACATTTATTATATTCAATAATAGATATACAAAGTTATGGATATTTGATTATTGCAGGTTTCCGTTGCACTCATTGTTAATTTTATGATACTTACTAATTTTGAAAAAATAATAGTTCTCTTTAACTTCAAATTTCAAAAATTTTATTTAAAAAATTAGATAATATATAAATTGAGTTTACAATCATTGTTTGTAACTATCATTTAAAATGTTTTCAATTTCTTATTTAATCATTGTCGCAATTTTGAAAATGATCGATATCATCAAATGGTTTACCATCTGAACATTTTAAATTAGTAAATCTATTAAATAGGTTATCCTGTTTGATCCAAAATGAACGACAATCCTCACAATCAAAGGTCTTACTATCATTATTTAATTTAACGGTATTTAAATTATTTTCAGTTAGGAACGGGTGGTATATATTATGTGGCAAATACACAAATTGACCATATTGAATGTCCAATAATGTAGGTCGGTTAATGCCAGTAAGAGCACCAACATCAATAGTCGGCACACCATCATTTGGAATAAATACCGTTAGATCTAACGAAGCATTACTGGGCTTATCGATAGCAAATGCATTGGCAGTTATGTGTATTGTAGTGCCGAAAATCCAAAGAGCTGTTAACGCGGATAAACCTCTAAACGCATGGCTGCCTATAGTTAGGTCAGTTGTTTTAATTGTTATATGGCTTAGTTTAGATAAACCAGAATCAGCAAATGAATCCGCAGGCACCATGGTCAGCTTATCATTCCCCCAATCATTCAACTCGGTGGCGTTGATGAATTTAGCCATTATAACAAACAATGTATCAGGTTCTAATTTGTAGTTATATTGAATATAAAACAGATTTGTAACATTGTACGTAAGCATAAATGCATCAGGATGAATATGCATCAAATTAGTATACTCTATGTGAATTTCGCCAAAAGTAATATCTATAAAAGTGTTTGCCTTTATTTCACTCACTTTTGTATTATTGAATACAAAGAGATTGAAATGTTTTTGTTTTGTTTCTAAATTTAGGCTAAGTTTGCGAAACATTTCTCCCAAATCCATATCAATATTTCCTTCGCATACAATGTAATCGTTTTCATGAGCTCTACAGCCATAGGGTTTTAATATATCAGCAATATCGCCGCAATATTGAAAGTGACCTGGGTCATCAAATGGCTTACCATCTGAACATTGTAAATTTTTAAATCGCTTAAATAAGTTATTCTTTTTAATCCAATTGGACGGACAGTACGTACAATCAAATGCGGTATTATTATCATAAAATTCAATAGTATTAAGACTATTCTCGGTAAAAAATGGGTAGAATGTATTATATGGAAAATACACATATTGACCTTGTTCTAATTTCAATTGTGTGTGTCGATTAATGCCACTAAGGGCACCTTCATCAAACACGGTGTCATTAAACGGGGCGTTTAGGCGCAGAGTTAGCGATACATTAGACGGTTTGTCGATTGCAAACGCATTCGCCATTATATGCAGTGTTTTAATGCATCCGATTTGAAGTTGTTTTAAACCGGATAGACTTCTGAACGCATGGCTGCCTATTGTTTGTTCATTCGCTTGAATATTTATAGAATGTAAATTAGAATAAGTAGCATTGGCAAATGTATCAGCAGGTATCGTGGTCAGTTTATAATTGCCCCAATCATAGAGTTCGGTGGCGTTAATGAATTTGCTCATTACAGTAAACATTGTATCAGGCTCCAATTGCTCGTTATACTGAATGTATAATTTATTCGTAATATTGTACGTAGCCATGAATGCATCAGGGTGTATATGCACCAAGTTTGTCTCGCGTATAGTAATCTCGCCAAATGTAATGTCTTTGAAAGTGTTTGCCTTTATTTCACTTACTTTTGTGTTCGTGAATATGAAATAACGGTAATGTTTTTCGTTTGGTTTTGATAATTGACTCAATTTAGTAAACATTTCTCCCAAATCCATATCAATATCTCCTTCGCAAACAATATAATTGTATTGACAACCACTACAACCATAGGGTACTAATACGCTTGGATCAGGACATTCGCTGTACACGAGCCCAATGTTTCCGTAAACTAATATTAACCAGGTTATTTCTAAAAATAATATATAGAAGTTAAAGTTTAAATATTTTGTTTTTTAATTATTAAATTATAATTAAATATGAAAATTACTGTTTAATTAATACTCACTAAATACTGTATTCATTATTAATATTAATTGCATTTAAAGTGTTTTGAAATAATATAATCACACATAAAAAATAGTCTCTATTACTTTTTAATTTATCTACAGAGTATAAGTTGACATTTAAATCATTGATAAAATAAATACCTTTGAATTCCATCCAACTTAAGTAACTTATAAGTGATTTTACTTAATGCAAACGTGTACTGTATTTTGTAGATAAGTTTTATTTGCTTAACTCTTGACATTTCAATTTAATTTAATAGATTGTAGTTTCTAAATATTATAATTAAATTTTTGATAATAATTAGGCCCAACCAATTCGGCTCAAGGTTTCGGCTCTGAAATAGTAGAGGTTAGACCGGTATAAGCACAAATCATTTCGACGTCAGTCAGCACAATTTTCTCAAATTTTTATGGAATTGTTGGATCATAATAATAGATCTTCTGAAACGGTATCTATATGTTCCAAAAGACTTTGGATTCTTTAGTAGTGATCATTATGTCCGAAAAAACATTTTGTCTAAATATCAATGTAATTGATGGACAAGTGTATCATATTATATATTAATCGAACGGATTTGATGAGGTGAATGTGAATACACATTAATTTATTATTTCTGATGTATGATAAAAATGAAATT